AGCAGATGTGGCCTTCAGGGGAACCCCATATACACCAGTGCAGCGCCTCCGCCAGATAAGGAAGCGACTGAGGAGCAAAGAGGACATGTTTTGAGAGGTGCTCCAATCATAGAATCGTAGAATATCAGGGTTGGAAGGGACCTCAAGAGGTCATCTAGACCAACCCCCTGCTCAAAGCAGGACCAATCCCCAACTAAATCATCCCAGCCAAGGCTTTGTCAAGCCTGACCTTAAAAACCTCTAAGGAAGGAGATTCCACCACTTTCCTAGGTAATGCATTCCAGTGTTTCACCACCCTCCTAGTGGAAAAGTTTTTCCTAATATCCAACCTAAACCTCCCCCACTGCAACTTGAGACCACTACTCCTTGTTCTGTCATCAGCTACCACTGAGAACAGTCTAGATCCATCCTCTTTGGAACCCCCTTTCAGGTAGTTGAAAGCAGCTATCAAATCCCCCCTCTTTCTTCTTTTCCGCAGACTAAACAATCCCAGTTCCCTCAGCCTCTCCTCATAAGTCGTGAGTTCCAGGCCCCTAATCATTTTTTGTTGGCCTCTGCTGGACGTTTTCCAACTTTTCCACATCCTTCTTGTAGTGTGGGGCCCAAAACTGGACACAGTACTCCAGATGAGGCCTCACCAATGTTGAAAAGAGGGGAATGATCACGTCCTTCCATCTGCTGGCAGTGCCCCTAGTAACACATCCCAAAGTGCCACTGGCCTTCTTGGCAACAAGGGCACACTGGTGACTCATATCCAGCTTCTCGTCCACTGTAACCCCTAGGTCCTTTTCTGCGGAACTGCTGCCGAGCCATTCGGTCCCTAGTTTGTAGCGGTGCATGGGATTCTTCAGTCCTAAGTGCAGGACTCTGCACTTGTCCTTGTTGAACCTCATCAGATTTCTTTTGGCCCAATCCTCTAATTTGTCTAGGTCCCTCTGTATCCTATTCCTACCTCTCCTCCCAGTTTAGTGTCATCTGCAAACTTGCTGAGGGTGCAATCCACACCATCCTCCAGATCATTTATGAAGATATTGAACAAAACCGGCCCGAAGACCGACCCTTGGGGCACTCCACTTGATACCAGCTGCCAACTAGACATGGAGCCATTGATCACTACCCGTTGAGCCCGACAATCTAGCCAACTTTCCATCCACCTTCTAGTCCATTCATCCAGCCCATGCTTCTTTAACTTGCTGGCAAGAATACTGTGGAAGTCTGTCAAAAGCTTTGCTAAAGTCAAGGAACAACATGTCCACTGCTTTCCCCTCATCCACAGAGCCAGTTATCTCGTCATAGAAGGCAATCAGATTAGTCAGGCATGACTTGCCCTTGGTGAATCCATGCTGACTGTTCCTGATCACTTTCCTCTCCTCTAAGTGCTTCAGAATTGATTCCTTGATGACTTGCTCTATGATTTTTCCAGGGACTGAGGTGAGGCTGACGGGCCTGTAGTTCCCAGGATCATCCTCCTTCCCTTTTTTAAAGATGGGCACTACATGAGCCTTTTTTCAGTTGTCGGGGACTTCCCCCAATCGCCATGAGTTTTCAAAGATAATGGCCAATGGCTCTGCAATCACATCCGCCAACTCCTTTAGCACTCTCAGATGCAGCGCATCCGGCCCCATGGACTTGTGCTCCTCTAGCTTTTCTAAATAGTCCCGAACCACTTCTTTTTCCACAGAGGGCTGGTCACCTCCTCCCCATGCTGTGCTGCCTAGTGCAGTAGTCTGAGAGCTGACCTTGTTCGTGAAGACAGAGGCAAAAAAAGCATTGAGTACATTAGCTTTTTCCACATCCTCTCTCACTAGGTTGCCTCCCTCATTCAGTAAGGGGCCCAAACTTTCCTTGACTTTCTTCTTGTTGCTAACATACCTGAAGAAACCCTTCTTGTTACTCTTAACATCTCTTGCTAGCTGCAACTCCAGGTGTGATTTGGCCTTCCTGATTTCACTCCTGCATGCCCGAGCAATATTTTTATACTCTTCCCTGGTCATTTGTCCAATCTTCCACTTCTTGTAAGCTTCTTTTTTGTGTTTAAGATCAGCAAGGATTTCACTGTGAAGCCAAGCTGGTTGCCTGCCATTCTTTCTACACATCAGGATGGTTTGTCCCTATAACCTCAATAAGGATTCTTTAAACTACAGCCAGCTCTCATGGATTCCTTTCCCCCTCATGTTATTCTCCCAAGGGATCCTGCCCATCAGCTCCCTGAGGGAGTCAAAGTCTGCTTTTCTGAAGTCCAGGGTCCGTATTCTGCTGCTTTCCTTTCTTCCCTATGTCAGGATCCTGAACTCGACCATCTCATGGTCACTGCCTCCCAGGTTCCCATCCTCAGATGCCAAAAAACACAGAGCATGGAGAGAGACTTTAAAGGAAAATTTTAAAATAGGCAGGAGAGAAAGAAGAGCCAGGAGCAAATTTTACTAGGCTAGATGCAGATGATAAAAGTGATGGAGGGAGCAAAAGGAGATGCTGAAGTCCCTAATCACACTACAGCCAGAACACATGCATGCTCAGACACCCCCATCCCCCACCCTTGCTGATACGGAACTGCTTTCCATGCCCTCCTCAAATGTCTCCCACAAATTCCTTGCAACTTCCTGGCCCATCTCAGTTCCCTGTTCACTCCACCCCTTCAGACAGCTTCCACAATGATAGCTGGACTTACAGACAGCTATAAGAGCCTATACTGTCCTTTACTGTTATCTCTCTTGCCACCAAGCCTTTTGTTTGTGGTGTTAATTGATATTTAATAAAAACTCCCTGAAAGATAGCTGATCTTTGTCTCCTACATGTGGTGGTTGCTGCTGGAATAAATACACCATGGCAATTTGATCATTTGCTGACCACAAATCACAGTCAGGAATCCAAAATTTTCAGCAAGTCAGCAAATAAAGCATGACTGTGCTGTATTGAAAGACACATTACTAGTGCTCACTATCAAAATGGTGCCTCAAAGCCTCTTGGATTCGAATAGCCCCCTCCGCTCCTCTACTAGCCCTCAAAATCAGCTGCCAGGTGATCCATCTCCACACTCCACCCTAGGGGAAACTTTTCATTCTTAAAAAGAAAAGGAGTACTTGTGGCACCTTAGAGACTAACCACAAGTACTCCTTTTCTTTTTGCGAATACAGACTAACACGGCTGTTACTCTGAAACTTTTCATTCTTAGCCTCACAAATGTTATGGAGTGCACAGCAGGCTGCTATGACCATGGGAATGTTTTCCTCATTTAGGTCTAACCTGCCATAAAGGCAGCGCGAACATGCTTTTAATCTGCCCAAGGCATGTTCTATAGTCTTTCTGCACCTGCTCAGCCTATTATTGAAGTACTCCTTGCAGATATCCAGGTTTCCCAAGTAAGACTTCACGAGCCATGGGAGTAAGGGGTACACTGGGTCTGTCAGGATCACTGTGGGCATTTCAACATCCCCTATTGGAGTGCTTCCCAAACTATGGGAAAGCCCCTGGTGGGGCGGGCCAATTTGTTTACCTGCTGTGTCCGCAGGTTAGGCCGATCATGGCTCCCATTGGCCATGGTTCTCCGCTCCAGGCCAATGGGGGCTGTGGGAAGCAGCGTGGGCTGGCCGCCCTTCCCACAGCCCCCATTGGCCTGGAGCGGCAAACTGCGGCCACTGGGAGCCACGGCAGACGCGGCAAGTAAACGAACCGGCCCGGCCTGCCAGGGGCTTTCGCTGAACAAGCGGTGCCCTGAGTTTGGGAACCACTGCACTAGGGGATGTTGAAATGCCCATCCTGATCCTGAGAGACCTAAGGGAATCTTCTGGCCGCCGTGCTCCGCCAGACTGGCCCAGGCATGGCCCGAGGCGCCAGCTGCGGCCCGCACGCACGGGGCCGGAGCCTCTGCCGGGGAACCCGCCCCCCTGCACCCCCGCCACGCCCTGCAGCCCCCCTGCCCCCTGCAGCACCCTCCACGCCCCACAGCCCCGCCACGCCTCCCGCAGCTCCCCTGCCCCCTGCCGCGCCCCGCAGCCCCCTGCCACGCCCCACAGCCCTGCCCCGCAGCACCCCGCCACGCCCCGCAGCCCCCCTGCCCCCTGCAGCACCCTCCACGCCCCACAGCCCCGCCCCGCAGCGCCCCGCCACGCCCCCCGCAGCTCCCCTGCCCCCCGCCGCGCCCCGCAGCCCCCGCAACGCCACGCCCCGCAGCCCCCCGCAACGCCACGCCACGCCCCGCAGCCCCCTCCGCGCCCCACAGCCCCGGCCCGCAGCACCCCCCTCCGCAACACCCCGCCACGCCCCGCAGCACCCTCCACAGCCCCGCCCCGCAGCGCCCCGCCACGCCCTGCAGCTCCCCTGCCCCCCACAGCGCCCCCCGCAGCCGGCCCTGACGCCGAGGGCGCCCCTGGGCGGGCGGGGCGGGCCGGGCATCGGCTCGTGGCCCGGCTGCTCCCGCCCCGCTTGCGGCGGGGGCGCGGCGCGGGGCAGGTCCCCGCCCCTTGGCGGACCGGCGGGTTCCCGGCGCCCCCGGCTGTTCGTGCGGCCGCAGCCGGTCCACGGAGCCCCGCCCCTTCCCCGCGGGCTCTCACCGGACCCAGCCAGGAACCCCCCCGCCCCCCCGGAGCCGGCACTGCGCGCGCGCTGTCAGCGAGGCCCCCCCCGGAGCCGGCACTGCGCACGCGCTGTCAGCGAGGCCCCCCCCGCCCCCCCGGAGCCGGCACTGCGCGCGCGCTGTCAGCGAGGCCCCCCCCGGCCCCCCCGGAGCCGGCACTGCGCACGCGCTGTCAGCGAGGCCCCCCCCCCTCGCCCCGAGGAAGGGCGGACGCGCAGGGCCCCACCCCGTCTCCCCCTAGCGGCCGGCCCAGGCCGCTGCAGCCCCCCGTCGACGTCACCGCCCGCAGCCCGGCAACCGGCCAATGGAGGCGGCCGCCGTGGGCGGGGCGCCCGCTCTAACTCGGAGTGGTCTCCGATTGCGCCAATGGGCGGGAGCGAGCGGCTGCGTGGGCCAATGGGTCTCGAGGGGGCGGGGCTGCGGCTCGCTACGGTGGCTGCGCTGGCGGGGCGGAGGAGGCTCGGTTCTCTCGCCCGGCCGCCATGACCGCGCACAGCTTCGCGCTCCCGCTGATCCTCTTCTCCGCCTTCTGGGGCCTCGTGGGCGTCGCCGCGCCCTGGTTCGTGCCCAAGGGGCCCAACCGCGGGTAAGAGCCCGGGGCTGCCGCCGCCCCTCCCCCCTCCGGTCCGGTCCGGTCCGGTCCGCCGCCTCCGCTAACTGGCCTCTCTCTCCGCAGGGTCACCATCACCATGCTGGTCACCGGCGCCGTGTGCTGCTACCTCTTGTGAGTGCGGGGGCCGGGGGGGGCTGGCGGCGCGGGCCGGGGGGCGGGGGCCGGGGGGGGCTGGCGGCGGGGGCCGGGGGGGGGCGGCGCGGGGGCGGGGGGCTGGCGGCGCGGGGCTGGCGGTGGGGGCGGGGGGCTGGCGGCGGGGGGCTGGTGGGTGTGTCGGCCCCTCGCCGGGCTCAGGGCGGCCCCGCTGGCGGGCGGGACCCCCGGGCCCTGCGCTGTGGGATCCGTCGAGTTGTGGGAGCAGAGGGACGTTCGCCTGCCCCGCCCTCCCCCAGAAAAGCCCTAACATCCCCCCGGTCCGGGGCCGCCAGGCGGGGCGTGAGGAGACGGAGACTCCGCCGCTTCGCTGGGGAGGCTCCGCCCCGTCCCCGTGAGACGCTCGGACCTGCTCTTCCGCTGTGAACGGGCCTGTCCGCCCCCACCCGCCCTTGACTTGCTCTGCGGCTCTCAGCCGGGTAGATGAGCCTCTTGGTACCTGGTGTCTTCTGCTGGCGAAGATTCCTGACGCTGCAGTCGGCTCGCCTCTCCCTCCTGGCTTCGGTAAACTGAGCAGGTTGAACTAGCCTCTGGCTCACAGCTTAACTTTGCTTTATGTTAGCAAAGTCTTGACCATTACTTTAGTTCAGGCGTTAGGCCTCATACCGGGCCTCTGATCTAAGGGTTTGTGTTTCAAAAGGGCCTCATCTTACTACAGTTAAGACACACAACAATCTTCTTAGCAAACTAGCAGGTTCGTCATGGGGTGCTCGTGCTCCAACTTTGCGGACATCAGCTCTTGCCACCTCCTATTCGGCGGTGGAGTACTACACACCAGTCTGGTGGCTACGCAGTTACATGCCGCCATGCGTATCGTCTCCAGCACCCTGCATCCGACTCTATTCCCATGGCTTCCAGTTCTGAGCAAAATTGCTCTTCCTCATATCAGATGAAAGGTTGCCACTGGCAATTTACTGGAGAAAGTACGCGCCAATTCAAGCCTGCCACTGCACAATGACCTTTTTAAACCACCAGCTGCACGTTTGCTGTCACGTCGCCCATTATGGTCTTATCTGCCAGGCCAGGATGTTAGGACAGAAACACTCTGCGAGAGGAATAGGTGGATGTCATAATCCCCCAACCAGTCTCTCGTCACTGACCACACAATTTGTCTGCCTGGTTTTGACCTGCCCCGTCGTCAATGGTCCCTGTTGAACAGGTTCCAGACCAGGCAAGGTCTCTGTGCAGCCAACCAGTATCGCTGGGGCATTCGTGACAGCCCTTTGTGCAGCTGCAGAGCAACACAGACAGTGACACAGGTCGAAGAATGCCTGCCAATTTTGTTCAGCAGTGGCCTAGAACGGGGTAGCCAAGCTGAGCCTGAGAAGGAGCCAGAATTTACCAATGTACATTGCCAAAGAGCCACAGTAATATGTCAGCAGCCCCTCGTCAGCTCTCCCCAATGCTTCCCACGCACCGGCAGCCCCTCCAATCAGTGCCTCCGCCTCCCTCCCTGCACCTTCTGATCAGATGTTTTGTGGCATGCAGGAGGCTCTGGGGGGAGGAGCGAGGGCAAGGCAGGCTCAGGGGAGGGAGCGGGAAGGGGTGGGATGGGGGCAGGGACTGTGTCAGAGCCGGGGGTTGAGCAGTGAGTGCCCCGTGGCCCATTGGCAAGTTGGCGCCTGTAGCTCCAGCCCCGGAGTTGGTGCCTAGACAAGGAGCTGCATATTAACTTCTGAAGAGCCGCATGGGGCTCCGGAGCCACAGGTTGGCCACCTCTGGCCTAGAAGAACTACATCATGCCACTGAAGATGCCTTCGCTTGACTAGACGACTATGCACATGCTCAATAAGTAACAGATTATCCATTGCACCTGGGTTCACATAGGTTTTACTTTTAAGATAACACTGGTATGGGTTGGGAAGGGCCATGTCAGCTCATTTTAAGACAGATTGTTTGTCTTCTTTAAAATCTGCAGTCACCCCTATCACCAGAGACCTTCTTTTTAGTAACATGCCCGTATCTCATCAGTTATTCTTTGAACCGGAAGTCCTCCCTACTTCTTTCTTTCTGCCCTTATAACTCTTGCTTTCTTTTACTTGCTAGTCAGGGCCTTTCTTACAACACATTTCTTTAACCAAACTTAAGCTCACTTTAATTCTCTAGTTTTGTATTTATTCTACATGATGGCCTGCACACCTTGTACCTAGAGGTGTGACCTTGCATTTGGCTGCATTAACATGCAGGTTGTTTGGGCCCAGTTTATCAAGTGATTCGGATCCCTCTAGTTGACTGTCCTGTCCTTATCATTATTTACCATTCTGCCAATCTTAGTGTCTTCTGCAGGTTTATCAGCAGTGCTTTTATATTTACTTCCATGCTTTTGATTAAGAACATTGAATGGTGTCCGGCCTAGAACCGGTCCCTCAGAAACCCGCTAGAAACGCCTCCATTTGAAGATGATTCCCCATTGACAACTGCCTGTTCAGACTTCTCAGTCAGTTTTTAATCCATTTAATGTGTACTCTACAGATATTGTATAGTGCCAGTTTTTTAATCAGAATGTCATGTGGTACTAAGTCAAAGTATATTACAACTATGTGTTTACATTTATCAATCAAACTTGTAATCTCATCAAAGAATGAAGTTGGGTTTATTTGACAAACCTGTTTTCCATAAAACCATGTTGACTGGCATTAACTTTAATTCTTCATTGATTTGAGGTGGTATCAGCTTTTCCATTAGCTTGCCTGTGACTGATGTCAAGGTAACCAGCCTGTAATTTCCTAGGTAATCCCACTTGCCCTTTTAGCACATTAGCCCTCTTCTGGAATTTCCCTGATATTGCAAAACTTACTAAAATGAACATCAGTGGGGCAGAAAAACAGAAATATTGATTGAACACTTCTGTCTCTTTTACCATCTCAAGTAATGGGCCTGGATCATTGTTAGGATTTCTTTTATTGCTAATGTACCTTCTTCATGCCAGCTATGGATTTTTTTTCTTGCACAGTCTTCAGCTTCCCTTATGCGTTTTCTACACTTCATAACTAATTTATATCAATTGCTGTTTTCCCCATTTCCCCCTCTCCCCCAGTGTGTTTATATAAATTTCTAATGTCTGCCTGCAGTTTCCCACTGAACCAGGATAAGCTTTTAGCCAAAGTTGTCCACTTTATTGGTTATGGAATTGTGGGTTTTTTGGACATCTAAGCTCTTCATAAAGAAACTTTTAATTTTTATTCACATTTTTCTGTCTAAAATTTTCCTCAGATTTGGGAAATTAGCCCTTTTGAAGCTATGTCAGACAGACACAGATAAAAATTACCAGTTGGGACTGTTCTCTGTCCATAACGACTATATTCAAATCATGATCACTAGTCTCCTAGGTGACCACCAACTTCCAGTCCAATGATTGATTGATCTTTATCCATCCTACTGAGGTTCAAAGTAGTTACTTCATGTTGGGAGCAATACATCTTCTGTGTTAGTTTCTAAAACGTACAATTTTCTAAGATTTTCTTATGCTAGAGGGCTCACACAGCCAGATCTCCCCCAGGGAAGTCCCCTGTACAACAACAGGTTTTTCCCCCACACCTTACACACAGGTGCCTAAAGAGTAACTTCTCCTGTTCTCTGGTTTGATTCCATGTTCTGTAACAGACCCCACCAGTACCCCATCCTGGGCTTCGTTAGTTAGCACATGGATACCTTCAAGAACCTGTGCTTCTGAGTTATGAATAACAGTGTCTTTGAGGTAGAGTGCCACTTCCCCCACACTCCTGTTTTTGCCGCTCTGTCTTTTATAAGAGGTTGTAACCAGTGACTTTAACCTTCCAGTCATGTGAATTGACCCACAGGGTCTCAGTAATACCAGCTATAGCAAGGCCTGGTCCACACTTAAGATTTAGATTGGCGTAGCTGTGTTGTTCAGGGGTGTGAAAAATTCACACCCTCGAGTACCATAACTATGCCAACTAACCCCCAGAGTAGACATGGCTAGGTTGCTGGAAGAATGCTTCGGTCAGCCTAGCTACCACTGTGTGGGGAGGTGGAGTTCCTACAGTGGTGGGTAATCCCCTTCTTGTCACTGTGGGAAGCATCTGCACTATGGCATTACAGCACTGTAGCTAAGCCTGTAATTTCCAATTCCTCTTGCTTCTTACTCAGATGCCTAGCACACTTCTTCACTCTTTGTCACCTCCAGATTCAAACCCTGAGTTTGAACCACACGTGCCCCCTTAGTACCTTCCCTTTGGGGTGTTCTGTAGTACCTGCCAGCTCCTGCTGGTCTCCACGGGGGAAGAGTCATTCACTGTCTGTTCTTTGCAGCTGGCTCATAGCCATCTTGGCTCAGGCAAACCCCCTGTTTGGGCCCCAGCTGAAGAATGAGACCATCTGGTATGTGCGCTTCCTGTGGGAGTGACCTGTTGCCAGTTCAGAAGGTACCAGGAAGGACATGAGATCAGCACCCATATATCATGGTGAATGGAGCCTCCTGTGGGACAAACCACCTGGACTTGGGGAGTGGGGGGGTTGTGGTATAGGGCCCTCCCTTGACCTGCTGCCCTGACATGGTTTGGGATGGGGGCAGGAGTTACTTTACCAAAATGAAGTCTTGCAAGCTGGGGTGCTTTACTCTGCAGCTGCCCGGGCAGTTTCTAGTTGGGTTTGGTTTCTGTCGGTGGCTCCTTGGGAAGGTGATTTGCGGCTGCCTGTTAGTGCTCTGTTCTGGAGCCAAACAGAGGATCCCTGGATTCAGCCAGGAGAGGGCCTTTCTCCCCTGTAAGTGGGTCTCCCTCTCCCTGGGGTGGCTCTTTAGGTCCCCTTCGTGGGAAAGAGTTTGGCACTAAACATCTGCCCCCCCCTCTCTCTCTCAGCTCCTTCTGAAATCCAGATGTTGCCCCATCCTCTGCACCCTCCAGTGCTGTCCTGCCAGAGTTGGTTCCCAGGTCGGACCAGCTGCAGCGCCACACCTGAGCCACTGCATCGAGGAACCAAAAAGCAAAGGGCCACCTGTGCAGCCCTGTCTGAGGCATGATCCCCACCCCAAGATGGGCCCTGAGAAGTAGGATTTCCCCTAGCAGAGCTGGGCCTAAGCTCCCTTTTCTGAGCCAGGCACTGCAGAGGAAAGTCCCACCTCCTTAGTGTGGGAGGGATTCTGAAATGGTGGCTGGTTGAGCTCCGGTTCCCAGGGAATTGGCTGGTGCTGAAGACCACCCCTACCCCTTCCCTTAAAGGACAGATACAAGGACCCCTGGGAGCAGCACCACTTGCCTCTGTTTAGCCCTTAAAGGAGGGAGTGGAGACCTGAGTTTATCCTCATGATTCCTGTTGCATGAAAACCTGTTCCCAAACCAGCCATAGAATCTTAGGCCTCTTCTGGTCCTGGCAGCCTCTATCCTCTGGGCCTGTGCATGTGAGAACCAGAACCCGAGGCATCCTCTGAATACTGAGCCCCCTTGGGGTGAGGTACCTGGACCAGCATCCCTGCTTTCAAGATAGTCAACAATGGCCACCAATCAGAACCTATTTCTGGGAGGGGGAGTCCTAAGGAATAGGATACTGACATGGTGAGTGGGTAGGTCAGGGTGGGACTTTCCTGTGTCAGTCTGGAGGGAGAGGACTCCTCTTTCCCTCCCCCTGAGCCTCCCAGAGATCCTGGTCCTGGAGCTGGTACCACAGACACCAGGCTCTTCTCTGTTCAAAGGGTTGCCACTCCCACCCCCTCTTGCGTGTTCTGGTTGTGGGGCAGGTGCTGATAATCTGGGCAGTGTCCCGGCCTACCCCTCCCTTTCCCATAGTTATTGGTTAACTGCAGTGTATTTATTTGTCTTGTTTGGTATGTAAATTTGTGTTGTGAAAATAAATGTTTTTCTAGTAAGTGTGTCTGGCAGCAGCAACTCTGGTCTCTCTTGCCACTGCCAAAAGGTCTAGGAAAAGCCCTAGGTGCAGCATCTCTTCCTTCCCCTGCCCCCAAGCTGGCCTTGCTGCAGGGGAGAAGAAATGTGGGCCTTGCCTGGACTTAGCATGGGAACTGTTTTGGGGAGGATGCAGAATATACTCTACCCTTCTTAAAAAGAAAAGGACTAGTGGCACCTTAGAGACTAACCAATTTATTTGAGCATGAGCTTTCGTGAGCTACAGCTCACTTCATGGGATGCATGCCACAAGTCCTCCTTTTCTTTTTGCGAATACAGACTAACACGGCTGCCACTCTGAAATCTACCCTTCTTGCTACTTCTGAGTACCATGGTGCTGTTTCTGTGTGTAGCCTGGGTCTTCACAACACTGTGTGTGGTGGAGGCGGTGTCAGCTGAGTGCAGCTGCCTTCCCATAACAGCTGTGGGAGCACAGTTGTGTCTCAGGTCTACTTTGATCTCATAATAACAATGGCTATGTGATTTCAGTAACCCCTTTCGGGTGCAGGCCCCTGCCTGTGCCCTGCTGGGTTGGGGAAGGCAGCTATCCCTCCTAGCTGAAGGACATCTGGTGGCAAGGCATTGTGCTGCTCTGATTTCTTACTCCCCCTCCTAGCTGTTCTAAGGGGATTGGTGGAACACTGCAGTTCCTGTCCCTGGCTGTCAGCTGTTCATGCCTGTGCCCTCTGCAGTGATCATGTCAGCAGGTGCAGCCTGGATCAGAGCTACCCATGTTGTGCTGAGCACCTGGGACAACAGCATGTGCTGATAGCTGCAAACAGCTGATGTGAGACACAGCATCTGCGACTGGGTGGAGCTTCCTCCTGGGGTCTCTTCCCACAGAGTATGGAGGGGAAGAGGTCCTGCAGCAAAGACCATAGTGAGCATGGACATGATCAGCGAGAGCTTGTTACCAGCACATATATGGACAAAGAGGCTGTTGTGGGTGGTCAATAGATTGTTTATTGCTCTAGTAACTGGAGTGGGGGGGTTCAAGTAATCCAAGTGGGTTCAAACAGTGGATGTACAGCCCAGCTCAAGGAGGGGAGGCCTTATTGGAATTTCCAGGAGGCAGGTGGGTGCAAGACCACTTGTGTCCAAAGGCCCCTCCCTCAGCCTTTTGAGAGGGACCACTGGACCAAGGATCCAAAGGAATACAGGGGATAACTAAGGAATAACAGGGATGGGAGAGGAGTTCTAGATGGGGACACTGAGCAGAGAACCCTCAAACCTGTCTAGGGAGCCAGTGGGTGCTGCCCAGAGGAATTCTGCCTGGATGCATGAGACTAGGGAGGACCAGAAATAGGTCCCAGTCACAGAGCATCCCCTCATCCAGCATCCTCCTGGTGGTGTACATGGCCACTTTGTCCAGGGCCAGGAGGTCTCAATATCCCTGGGGGACTGTGAGACCAGTGTGGAATAGAGGCTGGCCCACTGGGGGAGGTTCCCAAGTCCCACCACTTGATATCAGGGCAGGACACAAGGGTGTGGAAGTGAAACGTGGAGCACAAGCATGTATGCTTGTTCCCTTGGCATGGTTTGAAATTGAACTGGCTGCATAATATGCAGCCGGCTCAGATCATCGAGGGGAGGGGGGGGCCCAAGGAAAAGATCCAGAGAGCCTGGGATGGATAGGGAGCACCCTCTCACAGGATCCACTCAAGAGGTGGGCAACAAGGCCTCCCCCACCCCCTGCAGTATGCACAGGGTGGAAAGCCCCATGCACTGACCAAGCGCTTGGGGATCCACCCAGTTGTAGTCCAGGATGTCTCAGATTCTGGTGGTTTCTGCCAGGACCAGCCTCCAGCTCACCCACGGGAACTCTACCACCTGTACACACAGATGGGGTCGTGTAGCAGAGGCTCCGTTCTCACCGGTAGCAGCTTTCAGGTCTGGAGGCAGCTCTGACAGAAAGCTGGCCGCTCTGAGAGGCTGGGGGGGAAGACCCCCTAGGCTAGAGGAAAAAGCTGCTAGTCATGGCAGAGGAAGGCAAGCACCAACATGCTCTTTGCCTGACCACCTGCACCATAAAGGAGTCTCTGCAGGGCCTGGAGGCTGAAGACATGGACTTGGCTGTGGGGGAAGACTCAGAACCCCTGCAGAGACCCAGTGCAGTCCCAGCCAGAAGAATTCCAGAGCTAACCTCTGGAGCCAGGGGAGGCAGGTTTCAGCAGGGGTTCCATGGCCAAGTTGAGCCAGCACTGGCTGGGGGAGGGATTGCTGCCCTTGGTAGGGAAAGTGATTTGGCAGCAAATGAGCATGGGATAGGGTTGGAATGAGGAAGGCCCCTGCCCACCCACAGACAAGTACTGCCTCCCCTTCCAGAGAACAAGCTATTGGCCCTTCCAGTCCTGTTGCTGCAGCCAGTGTCTTATCAGCCCTTACAAGACATCAAATGTAATCTGAGATAACAGCGCCCCTCCTTAGGGTGAGAGCTGCAGGGATGCAGTATTGGGTCTGTGCACCTCTTTACCAAACAGAGGTGGGCTGGAGAGAGGCTTAAAGCCCCGAGACTGGGATAGGGGCATAGGGAGAAGAAACCCACTTCAGCACAGAATTACGCAGTTTCCAAGTACTGACCCCTGTCTGAAATTGAGAGACCCCATGGCTCAGACTGAGGCATGCCCTATGGACCACGAGGCACCCCATTGCTTGGGAACAGGACACATCAATGGAAACAGACTCTCTGCTGCTCAGCCCTTTGTGCTGGGTCAAACTCCTCTCCTTCTGTGAAGACTGGAACACATGACTTATGAGGAGAGGCTGAGGGAACTGGGATTGTTTAGTCTGCAGAAGAGAAGAATGAGGGGGGATTTGATAGCTGTTTTCAACTACCTGAAAGGGGGTTCCAAAGAGGATGGATCTAGACTGTTCTCAGTGGTAGCTGATGACAGAACAAGGAGTAATGGTCTCAAGTTGCAGTGGGGGAGGTTTAGGTTGGATATTAGGAAAAACTTTTTCACTAGGAGGGTGGTGAAACACTGGAATGCGTTACCTAGGGAGGTGGTGGAATCTCCTTCCTTATATATTTTTAAGGTCAGGCTTAACAAAGCCCTGACTGGGATAATTTAGTTGGGGATTGGTCCTGCTTTGAGCAGGGGGTTGGACTAGATGACCTCCTGAGGTCCCTTCCAACCCTGATATTCTATGATAAGATGAGGTGAGGGACTCTGGCCCTTTGGCTCCAGGGAGTTGATGTGACAGCTTGGCCGGTAGTGCCCAAGGAAGCCCATCATGCTGGCTGGCTGGCCAGCTCCAGCCAATTCTCCGACTGCTGCAGGCACAGCCTGAACATAAAGCCAGTCCCAAGGTTCCAGGTCCCAGTCCCAAGGTTCCAGGTCCCAGTCCCGTCCCCTTGGAGAGAAAAACTGAGCAAAGGGTGCAGCCTGTCTGTGAAGACAGGAGGGGCAGGGGCTCCTCTGTGTCCCCAACAGGGCAGGACAGAGACTTAGGGGCTAGGGCTCCCTGCTCCTTCGCAGGCAGAAGCTGGCTTAGGCACCTGTAAGTCCTTTAGGATTGACTTTTCAGAGGGAACCGCAGTTGTGCTTGTTGGTCCTTCAAGTGTCTAGTCATCCTCTGAATTCTACCAACTGTGGGCCTCACTGATATCTTATTGCAGTGAGTTCCACAGGTTTGCAAGATAGCAGATCAGAGGAAATGCTACAACTGTGCTGCCTTTACACTTCCATGCGTAGGAAGTGCTAGCTCTGCCTTGCTGATGCCACCTCTTAGTGGGTATCACCTCTCCTGCCTCAGCAGGAAGCCCCTCCAGGCCTTTGTGTTGGTCAGAAATACAAGCACCAGAGCCACGTCCTGTGCTGCTCGGGACCTGTCGGACACTGGTTCTGGCTCTAGGAGGGGGAGATGATGGACCTCCTGACAGGAGACTTTGGGCACTTGTCATCCAGCCTAGGTTCCAGTTCGGATGCTGGAACTGGGAGCTAGAAGCAGGCTGAATTGTGGCTCAGACGGATTCCTGGGCTGTGGCAGCATTAGGGCCCCAGTTCCTGGCCTGGCAACAGCACCACCTCTTCCAGCCACAGCAGGTTGAGCGGAGCTGAGCGCAGCTGGCATCTGTGAATGCGGCGCAGCCGCAGTAGGTAGAGGATGATGGCCAGCAGCACCACCAGGATGCAGACGAAGAAGAGATAGTGATTGTAAACGAAGGAGAGGCGGAGCCAGGGGCTGTGGGCCTGCCGGCTGCTCTCCTGCCGGAGATCCCTAGGCGGGGAGAAAGGAAGAGAGGTCAGCACCCGCCACTGAAGAATTACCATGAAAGGTGGCAATGCAGCACATGCACCTTATCTTACTCCCGGCACTTAGTGCCCCCTGCTGGGAGAGGTCAGGCTCTCCCCTTACAGCCAGTGCCTTTGCCCTGCTCCCTACAATGCCGTTGCTGGGACTGGAGTAGCCAGGAGCTCGCGCTGGTGTGTGACTGCGAGCTGGAACAAGTTTTAAATCAAAATGGGATGTTTCTCAAAGCTCTGCTCTAGGAGTTACTGTAGGGACGTTATCTGGCCTGTGCTATACAGGAGCTCAGATGAGATGATCACCATGGTCTCTTCGGTCCTTGGAATCTATGAATCCCTCTCTGCAGGCCAAGCACTGCAGGGCAGCCCCTGGGCTCCCACCTCAAATTTGCTTTACCTGAGTGGCAGAAACCGTGTTTTATAGAGAATGGCTCCCAGGGTCCACTGCACCTCGCGGTCGTACACCAGCTGGGCTGTGTGCAGGCTGGAGTAATCCAGGGGAAAGTGGAAACCCTCATGAAGGACTTGGTACATCCAGGCAGATTTAAAGCACTGATACCTACAGACAGAGCACATGGGACAGTCAACCAGATACCAGGCCTCCTGCTTCTGAGAGCCCCTGGTGCTAGACACACTGACAGGAGCCCCAACTGTGCTTGTGGTGAGGGGAAGCTCCTTACTTGACCCGATGCTGGTCTGCGTGTGGTGAGTAC